TTCAAGTCCATGTTTGCTCCGCTCTTAATGTTTAATGGACTTTTGAGCTCGATTTCTGTTCGTTATCTCCACATATTTCATGTTGATTGTTACTCCTTGGTTAAATCAACTGAAGATTGTATTATAAAATTCCTAGAAAAACCAATAATGACAAAGACTTCTTCATTAGATTGCAATTTTTGCATAAATGGTTGTTATCCATGCTACAATTTTATTGAAAATGTGCTATTGTCTCTATATTTGCGATAGAGGGACGTATCATTAATGCTTATTAAATCATTAGTAGTAGCGATAATGTGTGATTTCCCCGATACACGTAAAATTAAGAACTGACAATCCATATGACTTCCTAAATGCTAATTGCGATGCCACGAACTTCATCATTTTCTTAAAAAATGGGCAAAGATATCAATTTTAAATGGATCTTTCTTTCGGAGAATAAAGAGCATATGCTTCGCCCAAACAAAGAATAGAAAAATATGATTTTTTAAACGATTTTACACAACATGTCTGAAGACTGAAGTGAGCGACGGCTATGGAAACTGTCTTGTGTTTTTGTTTTCCCTCTAAATCAGTGATTTTTGGCGCTAATCTGAGACACAAGAAAATACACGCTTCTGATTGGTTAATGTACACAGGTTTCCATGTCAATTTCAAAGCATTTGAAAACGCCAAATACACATACATATGATATGTTTTGATTTTAAGAAAACAAAAACCTGGTACCATAAAACACATGATTACATAAATGCTATTATTTGACAATAATGCTGTATAAAATGATTTTCACCGACCACTTTGATTCTCTCTCTCTCTCTCTCTCTCTCTCTCTCTCTCTCTCTCTCTCTCTGTTTATATATATATGTATATATTTGAGCTATATAATACAATTTCGATTAAGGAAGGTTTGTAATACATGTACAGGAATTCCGTTTGTTACGTATATATAAACATGTGGATTTCCTAAACAAGTCATTCTGTTAACAAAACTACTGCTGGGATAAAGGGAATAATAACGCATTTCTTTGAGGTATTTATTACCATTACAAATATGACAAGTAAAATGAAACAATGTATGGTCGGATTGAATTGTATGCATTTATAATGACCCAGTATATTTTGCACTTGGCATTTTCAAAACACATGAAATGAAACATATGAAGATAACAAACAGTATTCAAGATCAAAAGTCCACAAAACAATACAAAGGGCGCTAGCCCGGACCTCCAAAATACATCAGAGATGTAGGTGCCATGGAGGTGAGCATATATCGACCGGTCACACCCGCCTGTGCTCATTTTCATGATCGGGAAATAACAGAAATATCCGTCGTCAATTCAGGGTATAAATTTATTATATTATATAAATAATATTTTCCAATGATAAATTTATTGATACAATGTATATCTTCCTAATGTTTACAGAGATAGTATTAACCATAAATGAGTTGAATGTAAATGTTTCAGAATTTATTGAATCTTACTCAGAGGAACTTGTTTCGGGACTAAATATTAACCCGCCATAGCATGATAATAACGCAAAATAGGTCACTTAATCTATCTCCGAATAACACACGTGTTCTTTTACCTCTCTCCACAACATTACCCAGATTGTGATATATACTAGTTCTACTGTGTTACACTTGCAGAGGAAATTATATGCACTGACAAAATATAAATACGTATTTCTTCTATGGGAGTAAAGAACGACAAAATACATGGCACGCTACTCTTTATTTGAAATTTTTAGTCTAACACGTAATCGCGGAAACAGCGTCAAAACTGAATTTCTGCTCGCCGAGTGGAAAAGTCGAATTCAACCATGAAATGGTGTGTGCTAACTTGTGAATTCACAACAATGACAAAAATGATAACAGACATCCTTGTAATTGTTTTGTATTCTCAGCCTAAGAGTTCTTCACTATATGGTCTTCTAAATTTTCCTCACCTACAACTTGCAAACTTGCGAACTTCCAAGTTTGTCTAAAGCGAAAGTGAAAACGAGGTAGCTCGTGCGAGTCATTATTCGCTTTCAGCGGTCGTTATTAAAAAGTAATTACTTCGTATTGACCAATCAGATTACTGGATTTCACAAAGTTATATAATATAAATCAATTACCATTCATTTCAGCATGTTATGACATATAAAATGAAACATAGTCTATGTTTTCTTTGCTCCGGATTGAATTGTATGGACTTGAATACTATTCGTTATCTCCATATATTTTGCACTTGACATTTTCAAAACACATGAAATGAAACATATGAAGGTAACGAACAGTATTCAAGATCAAAAGTCCATAAAAAAATATAAAATAGGAGCAGAGGAAATAGGGACCTCAAAAGCATCAAAGGTGGGATCATGTGCCATGGAAGAGTGAGCGATCGGGAAATAACGGAAATATCTGTCGTCAATTCAGGGTATAAATAATGGACTAACAATAAGTATGAAAAACGTCAGTCAGCATTTGACTCAATGATAAATTGTATTTGCTGACAAGATCATTGTATCGACCCTAAAACTTACGAAATGATGACGAGACTGCTGATATTCTAGTTTCATCCACTTGTTTGTCAATAATTTACCTCATTTAGAAATTGTTCACATGTAGAGCATGCTTTTGCGTACCGAATAAACTAAGAAATATATAAACTCCGTATGCAGGTGATAAAGGTATATTGCTGCATAAGTAAGGGAAGTTGACGATTGTAAAGTAAAAGTCATCACATTTATCATAGAGCTTTGTTGTTAGATTACCATTTACGTCTTTTTCAACTAAAATATCCATATATGAAACTGATGTGTAACACAGGCATTTTCATTTGTATGTTTTCAAGATTTCAAAGTCAAGCTCAAGCCATTGGGGATATATCGTGCCGACATAGAAATAGAAAATTGCCATTGTTAGTTGACAATACGTCGTCGATATATCTATACACCTCTGTTGTCAATAAACTTTTGAAAAACTGTGCAATTTAACATTTTAATATTAGAATTTTCAAAAGAACTATATTTGAATGAAGTAAAATTAATAGAAAATGATGAACCAAAAAATAAGCAAAAAACCTAAATGGAGCTATAGCAAGCCTGGGTAGGCATTTGATTTCGTAATCGATTCACGTTATTATAACTGGTATTCAAATTAATATTGTTGTTTTGTATAAGTTTTTTTTTCATTAGTCTATACAATTTAATAATTTAATTTTGTTTGTATTCTAGCCTCTCATTGGTTGATTTCTATCAAAATTAACAGCAAACTTATTCTGTATAATCTGACAACGTTTTCGCCTTATTTGGACACACACCCTTGACAACCAGCTAAATCCGTTTAACGGATCATCCCTTCAAGGATTTCAAAACCTCTAGGATTTCAACATAGGAAAATTCACCGATTTAATTAATGTACCTTTAATTTCAAACAGTAGCTCGATCTTACCTCCTGTAAACAAACATCATGGCTGCTAGTTATCAGTTATTACCTCCCCTCGCTTCCCATCACTTCCGTTATTACGGTTGCATTATTGAGCGGCAAATTTGAATTCATAAAAAGCAACACAATTTTACATCCATAGTTGTTTAACTATTTTAAGATTGAATTGTAAGAAATGACTCTTATAAATTCTAAAGTAAATTCTTGGCCAAATTATTCGAGTTTAACTTGGTTTGGGTCAGTTTACGTTTTTTATAATCCGCTTCGCGGATTATAAAGCGTAAACTGACCACGACCAGGTTATATCAAATAATTTGGCCAAGAATAGAGTCATTCCTCATAATAAATTAATAAAATACAACAAATTTTACTAAATTTTACTAAACGTATATAGTAACGCCAACCTGCTCCCTACAATGGTTCACAAATCAAGAAAATGGTATATGTTCATTATTTTTACAATCAAAAACTATATTACAGATTGATATAATAATAATAATCCATTAAATATATGTCAAATTTTAGAGAATATCTAAATTATTTTTTGAACAATACACTGCCTTTTTTAAATAATTCAAATTATCATAGTTTCTCTCATACAGATCTAATGCAACATTTGGAAAAGATGGCTTGTCTATGTGATATATAGTCAGTTCATTCCACCACTTTAAAAAAATTGGTTTTCAAATGTTGCTACACAAAAAACAGGAATAAAATGTGTGTTTTATAGTGTTTCGTTTTTATACAAGCATTAATATTGTGGTGAAGTATTAATTTTCATTTAAAACAGTTGTTTATTATGAGATATAAATCTATGAGTTAGCTTATACTGAAAAGACTGTAGTGTAAAAGATATCTCCATTCTTTTAAGTAAGATGATGAATAAATGATATTTTCTTCAATTAATTCTGTCAAAGATTTTGTCAAACGTTAGCCGATATAATTATGATGGTGAAGATTTAAACAATAAACGACTCTGTAATAATTGATTAATTTTTTAAAAATATATATACATTAAATTCTACAGATAAAATTTAAGACAATATGTAAACCATGTATCCTTCCTAATATACTATTAAAGAATCACAGACTCTATAAATAATTTTTATGGTTCAGGTTTACAAGGTTATTGAACTAAGATTTTATTCTAGAAATCTGGAAATCCAACTTCTATACATGTATACATGTACTTCCCGTTTCATTTCTAAATGTGAACTTGTGAAAAGCACTTTTCAGTCTTAAATGATATGTACATTTCCGTCAAGGAAAATGAGTTCGAGCTACTCTCCTATAGTGGGTTGCTAAACCTCAAAATTCTTTACTAGCAAAGATACATTGTCGGATCAAGACAAGTTCTCTTCCAAGCACCATATCTTTGATCTTCACAACTTCTTTTGAAACCTCTGTAAAGGTGAAGTATAAGAAGAACGGTGTTACAGGGTACTCAATGTGATGTATATCGGATGTGGATTCTCAGAAATCCCACAGAACTCGCAGATAATTCATGTATTCATCTGTTCATTCGTCCATCGTTCATTCCTTTATTCATTGACGATCTTCTTAAAAAAACCGAAATAGCGGAGAAAATTTTTGAACAGACTTTATTGTTTGTCTCTGAGGAGAAACTAATATCAAATCATACTGTGTATTTACTAAGTGATGGAAATCAGATGTTGATTCTCAGCAACTCCAAAGAATTTTCAGATAATTTTAACCATGGTCAATCATAGATTTGTTTTGTTTGTATTTTTGTGGACACTTTTTATCGATTAACACAGATGAAGAATATTTCTCTACACATTGCAACACAAGTTTTTCTTGGAGGGGTATACATGTATCATTATCAATATTGTCGTTTACTGATTTTTATTTGAAAATTAAAATAAGTACAGTCGTGTACAGGTGTACTATTTTTAATATTCAAATAAAAATCAGTAAACGACAATATCAAGGTTTATGTGGTTTACTTTTTAAAATTTTTATATTTGTAGTACATGGATATCTTTAATAATATTCTTTCCCTATTTTTAATGTGTTTATGAAATAATTCATACAATACCTTCTTGGAATAGATGAGAAATTTTGAGAGACGTCGCCCAGCTATAGTCCCGCCCTCAGACATCAATATGATGACGATGAGATAAAGTAATCAGCCATTGAACAGATCCTCACTCTCATTTACATGATACAGCAGCTGATAACTCTACTCACAAAGAGGACGGGCAAGATTCCAAAGGAGGTTTTTAATAAGATTTCAAACAATGGTAAGTAATCTTAGTGTTGTCTCTTTCTTTAATACATTTATCCATCTACTCTTATTTATTTTTTTCATTTATTCATTCATTTTTTTCATTGATGTCTTTCTTTAAAAAATAATAAAATATAAGAGAAAAAAATTAAAACAAATTATATATTTGAAGTTTTTTGTTTGCCTTTGCGAAAGTACTTGAAATCTTACATATATTTCATTTCTCCCCTTTATGATTGCATGACGCCAAATAAAATCAATATAATCATTTAATATTTGATTTGTATCTCGTTAATTGAAATTAGTGTTTACTCATTAAAAGTGGCGACAATGTTTATGACGTCTACTTATCCTGTTTGTTTCACTATGTCCACTTAATTGTCCATCATTACGATCAACAGCTTCATTGTGTAAGCGGGAATGGACACAAATCAATTAAGTATTAGCTGTTTATTGTTATTGATGATCGTTAGGATTAATTCCTTGGTAGGCTTTAATGAAAAGTGTTTGTATCCAGTGAGATATATTTTCACTGTAGCGTCGTTTGATTTTTGGCAAAAAAAAAAAACGCTATAGTGTTTTGTGAACCTGATACAAATTATTGCGATTGATCACGCCAAAATACTATTTGTATGAAACATTTGGTGGTATATTGTTCAAACTGGGTTAATTAATACTTGTCATAACTGCTACCATTTAAAGGATGTTATAATTCAACACATCAACATGATTCTAATGAGTAAATAGATGGAACAAATGATAAAGCTTGTGGCGTGGTAATTTTGCTTAATTTTTAAAAAAAATTTTGGTAATTTGCGATACCAGAACTTTTTCCATTTCACTCTCAATTAAAAAAACTTTTTTGAAAAAAATAACGGAAGTTGCAGTTTGTGCAGTCTTTAGACTTTTTATGGTTCTTACAAACAAATCAAATAGAACAGCTGATTTTCTGCGAGCCTTATTTTATAATAAATATTGACTTCACTTCAGATATGGATTACTAGTACTTAATGGGGAGATTTCTGGGAGATTTATGACAGTTCATCCCTGAAACCATTCCTTTTCAGCAAACATGGTAAGTTAGATACTATTCTACCAAACTATGATGTTGACAATTGAGAAATTTTATTTTATCAGATGCAGCTTGGATTGCATTTATCATTTGATTTTTTTTCTAACAGGAATTTTTTTAAAAATATTTTATATTGATAACAAATGTACATATAGTAATCATTATACCCTCCGTAGATTTTAATGAGTTTTCACGTTGGATGGACTGTTGGTATCCTTCATTCATTTACTAATTTGTCAAGAACTCACATTGTTTTAGAAATTGCTCGAATATTAGACTCTTATATATTCAATTATCTGGGAAACATAAAATCATATGACAATGGTATAATGCTACATAAGTAAAGAATGTTGAAGATCTTAGATTTTATCATTACGTTTTGTTATTAAGTTAGCACTGACGTTTTGTTGTTAAGTTAGCACTGAAGTTTTTTCTTGTAAAATATCCAAATATGATATATCATACTCTGTGGTGCCTTTGATTTCGAGTTCAGAGGAATATAATAAATCAACCTAAGAATGGAAATGAAGATAGTGAAAATGAGATTGCTTTCAGCATTCTTTTTATGGGTATAATATGGAGAAAGACGTCATTACTATACTTTAATTTCAAGGAGTCATAAAATTGCCTTTCTATACATAAAAAATATCAATTCTTCTTATTTTTTTCTTCATATCTCATGCTTATTGGGGTTTTTTAACTTCCGAGAGAATCGCAGTCAGTAACTCAATTTAATCTATCATTTCAATGGATTTATGTCAAGCTCATTTTATATATGGAAAAATAGATCTCGAATTGTTTCACCTACTAGATATACAGGCAGGTTTCTTTGATTAGAAGGTTTGTGAGCTGGTTCTGAGCCTTTTGTATATATAGGGTTTTATTATTAGGCTGTTTTGTGTTTCTATTCCAGCATGGACACGTGCACCTATGTCTCCGGGAGATGGTGATAGAGCAGTATGGAAGGGAAGCCTGGGATGCCATTTTGTAAGTGGATAAGAAAGTTTGGTGACCATAAATAATTATTAATATAAAATCTGTCATGCCTATTGAGAATACTAAGAATCTTCAAAAATTATATCTCGATTAGTTTTGAATGTGAACATTAATCGCATAAAAATACCTTTCCTTAAATAAAGCACATTTTTGATTGGTAAAAAAAATGAAAGAGTGATCTGGTATTTTTTCAGTTGGAATGCACAAAACGCCCAATTCTTCATTGATAATTCTCTGACTTGGCTAGTATTCAGTATAATTGACTTGAAAATATTAATACTTCCCCGAACTCCAATTTTTGCTTATACATACTTATGTGAAGAAAGCATGGTTCACATATTGGATATTGTCTTTCACTAAATTAACCTGTAAACATGAAAGATCTTTCATTTTATGTGAACTTATGACTCTCATTGTTTTTTCCCTCTCTAGAACTGAAGCCTCACTTGATGATGATAATGATTTTATGTTGTTTCATTACTATGACGACAAGAGAACAATAAGTTTGGTCGTAGCTATCTCCAATATTACCGGTAAGCATTGCTATAACGACAAGAGAAGTTTTAGCTTGGTTGTAGCTAATAGTATCTCCAATATTACCGGTAAGCATTGCTGTGAGACAAGAGAACTATTAGTTTGGTGGCAGCTATCTCCAATATTACCGGTAAGCATTACTATAACGACAAGAGAATCATTAGTTTGTTCGTACCTATTACCAATAAGCATTGTTATGACGACAAAAGAACCATTCGTTTGTTCGTACCTATTACCGGTAAGCAACAGAGTCATGATTAAAAGATTTCAACTAATAAAAAAAATCATAAATTCTCGATTTTTTTTCTTTACATTTATTTTCCATAAAGTATAATGATATTTTGTTACAAATCCTTACTTTAAAAACTGTTTTAGTCATTCAAAATCCAAGAACATAATACAGTGGATACACTTCTCTACCTTATCAACGTTTGAGTTCCGCGTTTTATGGATTTTTGACAATGATGACTGTTCGTTCATCACATTTTTTCTTCCAGGTCTGGATGTGAGTGGTGTGTTAGAGTCGTATGGACATTATTTTTATTTTTACGCCACCAGTCGGGGGTATGACCGGATGTTACGGACTCTCGGGAAGGATTTCCATACATTTGTACAGAATCTAGACCTTCTGCACTCTCTGCTAGCTCTCACATACAAAGGCATGCGCCCTCCCCACTTCCGGTACGCAGTCTGACAACTTTTGCTTGTTTTACCTTTTACAAGTTTCAAATTGTATAATTAGGCAGTTTTTGTTAATGTACGTAAGAAAAATGATTAATCTGTGCCCAATTTAAGAGAAGAGCTTAAATCATGAGGGAACAAATATTTGTACAATAGAAAGAATTGTATCAATGAATTAAAAACCAGAAGTCTCTGTCGAGACTGAAGCTCTTACTACTGGTTTGTACTTATAGCAAAGGAAGAGAAAAGTACTTAAGCAGTTGGAAATTGAAACTTTTCAACAGCAATAAATAGAATAATGATCCTTGATTATGTCTCTTTATGTTCTTAGTGCAGTCTACTTGCATGCCACATTTATATTATAATCAGACTAAAATTGTATTTGGAGTAGCATTTTGAAAGAATTTCACAGAAATTTCTACTTTTAGTAACCAACACCGTTCATCGAAATCAAAAACCGATATACAGAATTATGTAACTATTGTAGTCTACTTGTGTGCCATAGTTATATTGAAATCAGACTAAAACTGTAAGCATAGCATTTTGAAAGAATTTCAAGAAATTTCTATTTTTAGTAACCACGGCAACACCAATTCATCGAAATCAAAAACTGATAACAGAATTAGTATCTTAGTGTAGCCTACTTGTGTGCCAAGTTATACTGAAATCAGACTAAAACTGTAGAAAAGTAGCATTTTGAAAGAATTTCACAGATGAGCATTTCTATTTTTAGTAACCACGGCAACACCGTTCATCGAAATCAAAAACATGATAACAGATTTTCTATAATAAAAAAGTCTACTTGTGTGCCAAGTTATATTGAAATCAGACTAAAACTGTAGGAAGTAGCATTTTAAAAGAATTTCACAGAAATTTCTATTTTTAGTACAAACCACGGCAACACCTGTTTCATCGAAATCAAAAACCGATACACAGAATTATGTATCTTAGTGTATCTACTTGTGTGCCAAGTTACATTGAAATCAGACTAAATCTTAGTAGGAGTATTTTGAAAGAATTTCACAGAAATTTCTATTTTTAGTAACCACGGTCAACATGTTCATGGTGTCAAAAACCGATACACAGAATTATGTATCTTATTGTAGTCTTCTTGTGTGCCAAGTTACATTGAAATCAGATGTTAAAACTGTAGGAGGAGTAGCATTTTGAAAGAATTTCACAGAAATTGCTACTTTTTAGCTAACCACGGCAACACCGTTCATCGAAATCAAAAACCGATACACAGAATTATGTTTCTTAGTGTAGTCTACTTGTGTGCCAAGTTATATTGAAATCAAATTAAAACTGTAGGAGTTTTTGCATTTTGAAAAATTGTTTACAGACAGACAGAAGACTTAAACAGACAGACAAGACGGACGGACAATAGAAAGACGCATTACTATGTATCAAGCTCTTCTGGTCTCTGAAAAGAAAAGAGAGAGAGAAAGCGTCCTATGAGATATGTTAAGAAGCCTTACACAATTTCAATTTCCTATCTAATTTTTTCAGGAGAAGGTGATTGCTATTTATGCCGGAGAGTGCAAGGGTTGATTTATGGGTCTTTGTTTATTGATTTCAGGTGTGAGAAGAAAGACGGGAAACTGCTCGTTCACGTTTTCACCGTGCGTCCTGGAATGTATCCGGCCGCCATTGGTAAATAATCCAATGTCGTCCATCTTGAATTAAAATCCAAATAATTATTACTTTCTATGTACACCTTAAATGGTTGGTTAACCATGCTGATAAAAGCAGTAATGTTTATTTTGTGTAAAAATCGAGAAAGGATTTAAGAACTGTAAATGAAAGATCTTATCACTCACTACCTTTTTACGTCAGTAGCAACTCTGTTTCTTGTGGGTTATTGCCGTTGACTGTTCCTTTCCATAATAACTTTAAAATATCAACAATCTTTTGTCTTACATTGTAAATTACCGTAAAATAGTTGTATGCATAAAAAGTTCAATTAAGATGAACATCTACTGGTGATTAGATCCTACTTAATTTAACATAATGGTTAAGTCTTTTTACTCATTTTCATGAAGTAGTTGAAATATTTGTTAAATTTTTTTTTCAAATTCTTAAAAGCCAAAAATTATTACATCATTAATTGACCATTATCCAGGGATGTTGACGGAAGTCGCTCGCCAGATTTTTGACACCCGTATCAACATGTCTGTTGTCACAAGGAAAACAGGGGAAATATTTAAACAGAAATATTGTGAACACGTGATAACAGAGGTCAAGGTCTTAGAAGAACAGAAGATGGCAGCCATTACAGGAGAGGACCAACTTATGACTAACCACGTGCAAAGCAAACTTCAGCAACTTGCGCATGCCCGAGAAAATTATGTTGTTGCTGTTCCTGAATTAAGTCTGAATACAGCCTTGCCTTTCAGTGTTGTTTTTGATAAAAATATGTTCATTCAGAGTGCAGGACTTCACCTAAAGACTCTTTGTCCCGAAATTCAACAAGAACAATCAAAAATTAATAACATCTTTGACATTAAGGAACCGGAAGTGAAATTTGAATATAACGCCATCATGAGTTGTAACAGTTCGTACATGTATTTTTTTCTACAACCAAAAGTCAAGAATCGTAACGGAACACCACCCAAATCAGACTGTCCTATTTTAAGAGGTAAATTATAGACCAGTGTGTCATGTACACTATTTAAATTGGTTGCAACAAAAACTGATAACAATATTTTATTATATTTAACATAACATAAAGGCACATTACAAGACATATTCATCAAACTCTAAATGTATTTTAGTGTAAAAGTTTAAAAAATCGTCATTAAATAATTTTTCATACATCTCACAATGAAATGTAAGATCGATGCAATGAAACTCAAAAATCTCTAATCGACAACACTCTGGTCAAAATTATATCGCGTTCCTTATGGACCATCAACCAAATTAACTCCTCGGATCCTCATCAACCAACTCGGAAAAACTCTTGAGAATACGACAACTAGCAAAACTGTTCTTACAAATGACTCTTAGTGCGAGGAAACCCTACATTTGTATTTTGTAATTTGTTAACTCTAGTAATGCAGACCTTAAAAGAGGATTGAATACCGATGTTTATCAGTAATACATGTATTTCTCATTTGATAATCTGTTTTTGTAATCCTGCTAAACAATTTTTTCCCTAAAGCTGTATCGTGAGGAATCCTATCAATGTAAATAAATATAATTACATTATCATGCATACGAGCAGTGAATGTGTTTTCCATGTTCAAACAGTACTCTCACGCCATTTCCTTTTTTACTGAAGGTCACATGGTACCCCTGGAGGACAAAGAGGAGATTATGTTTATAGGGAGTCCACACTTTGACAGCCTGGGCGACCTGATTTCTTCCAGCAGCTACCTCAAAAACATCCCCCAGGACAATATGACCATGGAGATCATGTTCATGAACGAACAAAGACGAGCTGACGTCGAAATGAGGTCAATATAATCCCTCCAGTAGCTGAAAATTAAGTTGTTATGCACTTTTTTAAAACTAAAATGTTTTCAAAGATGTATATTTTATTTCATTACGTAGTAAGAAACTTGACGAAACGACCGCAGCAATGAAGAAATTGGCGGCTGCTTTAGATCAAGAGAAAAAGAAAACCGACACCTTGTTGTATCAGATGCTTCCGGTTAAAGTAGCCAATCAGCTGAGAGATGGCGGGAACGTGCAAGCAGGTACATTCAATCGAAAATCAAATAAATTAATGTTCAATGAGGATTATTTCACTATAAATTTAATTCCATGCGTGTTAAATCATAGTGTATATTGTTTTGAAGTTACAATTTCTATTTTTATGCAATCTTCTTAATTTTTGCTTTTTTTTTTTTTTACTTTCCTATGTTATTTTTTGAAAAAATAAAGCAAAGGACCAAGTTAACATAGTTATTATAGATAACATCCAACTGCTGTAGCATCTGATTTATTTAAGTCAGCAATATTCGGTATTTTTTTCTTTTTAACTTCATGACATGAACTTATTCCATTCAAATAATTTGTTGCATTACTAGTTTGTTAAATTTGTAAAATTTCCTATGAGTTAATTTTTTTTCCATGCAGAAAAGCATGAGAACGTAACTATCCTATTTAGTGATATCGTTACCTTCACAAACATGGCGGCGTTGTGTCATCCAATGGATATCGTGGAACTTCTTAATGATTTGTTCCAACGCTTTGACGAGTTAACAACAAAACACGACATATATAAAGTAAGCATTTCTAATGTTTCAAATTTTTTTTGATTGCTGTTAACTGGACTGTAGTATCCACTAATTATCATACAGAAATATGCCGTGTAATACACCAAAATCGCCCACTTGTTTTAGTACTTTTAAGCTTATTTTAAGTAGAACACTCCCTTAACGTTGTTGTTATTTTAAATTCGAACCCACCATCTTTGAAAAACAAACTTTTGTGATATTGATATAACAAAGCATTTACAACAAAAAGGTAGAAACAATCGGAGATGCTTACATGGTAGTGTCAGGAGTACCAGAAGCTACAGACGATCACGCTATCAGGATAGCCAACATGGGCCTCGATATGATTCAACAAACTAGTCACGTGATCAACCCTGTGACTAATAAGTCTATACAGGTAATATATACGAAACTTATCGTTTTGAACTAAGACTCATTTAGTCCAATCATGGTCTATGATGGTCGATCGAAATACAGTATATTACGCGTAAATGACAACGATCACATTAATCCTTTTAGCTAGAATACTATATTAATTTTGATGATGAATGTACGTGTAAAAGGCATCCATTGGTAATATTTTTATAGATTCGCGTGGGAATACACACTGGGCCTGTAGTGTCAGGAGTTGTCGGGACTAAGATGCCCAGGTATTGTTTGTTTGGCGACACCGTGAACACTGCTTCGCGCATGGAAAGTCACGGACTTCCGGGGCGCGTTCACATCAGTAATACTACACATAGGTGAGGGGCTAATATTAACCAATCATTGCTTTTTGCTTGATTTCTTCATAACTTCTAACAAAATCTAGAATTGGAGACCTTCAAATGAGAACAAAGACTGTAAGAAACATCTATATTTTTTTTATTGTATTAATGCCGTATCTGTAATTTTTTAATAACATTCAAAACATGTCCTATAACAGGAAACCAGTATTATAATAGAACGTTTTCCTTACAGTGAAATTCGGGAGGTGGGCTACATCTTAGAGAGACGCGGTGGCCTTGACGTAAAAGGAAAGGGTATCATGGATACATACTTTATTAATGGCGTGTCTGACAATTTTGATGCAAGTAGAAAATCCCAAACACAGCAAGAAGAACACAGGGAGCATGAGCGAATTCAAATCAAACGGATCTCACCGACACCAGAGAAGAGGCCGAGCCCGACCTCTGGGAGTAACTCCTCTTTCTGTTCTGTTATGTGATCAGCCTTAGGGCCGATAGCGTCTTTGATTTTAATTTATATTATTTGTTGTCATTGTTTACAGTCTTTATTTATGTTTTACACGTGTTAAATTATTACAAGGTTTTTTTAACATTCCTGAATTCAATGAGATTGTCTTTATAGATACTGTATTAAGTTAAGTTATTCATTTTCCTCTCATCTCACACATTTAACCTTGTAAGTTTTATTTCATTCTATTAAAATTGTCAAATACTGAACAAGTTTTCAAAGTTTTACATCAATGTTTGACCAATGAAATATACGCTTTTTAATAATGTTTCTATGACATTAACCATACAAACTAAATTTCAAATACATTCTATTAACAATCGAAAATCACTCGGCATCTTCCACCTAAAAAGATGAAATCTTGGATCTCGACTTGAATTAAAAATACTGAAAGTGCAAATTGAATATTGAGGGTTATGTTTCATTAAGTTTGTAAATGTAACAGACGAACTAAGATTGAAATGACTTGTACATAATATCAAAAACATTTATTTATTGTAATAGGATGATTAAACAAAGGAGAACATGAGACATACACATAGAACATTTAGCATAATTTACGTACTAAACCAAACAGTTCAACTAAGAATAGGAAGGAATAACATTAACAATACGTCTTAATAATTTAAAAGCCATCAGCACAAACATAACACCACAGCTATTTCGATAATTTTATCAATTCCGCATCAATTACCACCCTGCTGTTAAATTATACATGTATATTGAATAAACAAAACGCAGCTGAGTTTTTTATGAAATCCCAATTCAAATAATTAATTGTCAGAATATGTTCCCTCAAAAGTACTTGCAGCTGATATATGAGAAAATAAAACTTTTCAAGTCTAAAGAACTGCTCTATTTGAAATAAAATCACCCATCATATATACACAGGTAGGAGCCATCTCCTCAGATTCATATCAGTTACACCACTATTTTCTTCAACATTGTCATTTGAAGGATGGACATACCACCTTACAACACATTGCTATCGTTTTAGCCACAATATATCCATGAAATTCCAATTCCCTTCTTTACTTACATCAAGAGGACGGTAAGTCGTCGGAGAGACTTGAGCATGAGGATATAAATTATGCTGAATGAAGAACTCTGTTATTTTAACCCCCGAGTCTTTCCCTCGATGGAAGATCCATTCCATAAAAACACCTCGAACGTCAATAGCTTTAAAAAAGGCAGAAGCTCTCTCTAGAGCCTTCCATTCAAACCCCTCTATGTCCATTTTGATGAAAGATTTTCTGAACAAATTAATATTTGGTAACAGTAATAAGTCGTCCATAACAATAGACGAAATACTTGTATAATGCTCTCCTGTGGCAGTCCCTCCTTTCTTCTTCTTAACAAAATCAGCGTCCTCGTCAACAAAGGTCCCGCCAAAGTTCTTACTGTCTATTCCTAGTTCCACATACTTCCTGCTATTAGATAAAGCATTCATCACTATCGTGATGGAATTTTGAAAATTATTTTGCATTATTGAGGCACACACGTGTTTTACATTGAGATATAAAGCATCAATACACAAAACCTTTCTACCCATCTTAGCCATTGTTAATGAATACACCCCAACATTACATCCTATATCTATGAAGTTAACATCCAGTTCATCGTTGTTTATTAATTCAAACACTAATTGTCTTTTGCGACCGTCAAAGTCACCGGTTTCCACTATTCTCTTTGACACCCATATATCCTTTTGGGGGTCGTACACAGAAATACTGACAGCTCCAGAGGGCGTATTTAGAACTGAGGACCTGTCAACCTTGGGATGGTCACACAACGATGTATTCTGCTTCCAGGAAGTAAGATCATGTGACCATAACGTCACTTCCGTGCTAGAAGTCCTTACAGTTATATATGATTTTTGTGAAGACTGTCCAGTTTGCGTTTCTGGTGGTTGTTTTCCTGATGAGTAAAACATAACTAGCAGTAAGAGAATTCCTATCCCAAAAGCTAGGCATCTAGCGAACGTCTTTGACATAATGCTGCAATGAAGAAAAAAAGGTGAAGAATATTTTGTTCAAAATGTCATTTTAAAAATGTATTGACTATTGATTAATATTTGAAGGACACCTTGTGATTCCTTTTAATATTGGGTTGAGTGTCATTACAGCAAGGTATTATTGTATTTGAGGTGGGTTTTTTTTACAGCTATGGGGACCAGACCATAGGATCTTGAAGCAGAATAAGTCAAATTTTCAAACATTTGTAAAATGAATATGTCATTGTTAACTTAATCTTTTAAATTTCAAATAGCATCATTTTTCTACAGTATTATAAAATATTTTCATTTTAGTTTGATTTACTTCGTCAACATCTTAGTACAACCTAAATATTTTGACTTGAATTTAAGATGTTTTGATCCTGTGGGGGCCAGGTCTTACAGTGAAACATGTGGAGATAACAGTATAACAAGAACAAGATCAAAGTCCATAATACAATACAAAATAGTAGCAGAACAAACACGGAGCTCAAAAACATCAGAGGTGGGATCAGATGCAATCTGTTGGAGTACATATATATCTGAAGGACACTCATTGTTATCCTTTATATAAGCCGTATCCTTTTTTTATATACTGACATGCAGCAGACTTTAAATTCAGAAATATTTACAAGAGAAGCAGGGACCTGATCTCACCTTTGGATTTTTTCAAAGGTCCTTTTTATTATCTATTTTTATCTGTTCTTTACTGCAATTGTTTAAGGAATTTAAAAGCATTGTTTGTTATCGTCGCCTTAAACATAAAAATAATTAATACAAATGTAACAATATCTTTTTTGTAAATTAAAACAGCAAGTAGAAAGTTTGAAACATTCCTGTCGTTACTAATCTAAAAGCCTTGAATGGGAAATTAAAGAAATCAGAATTAATTCGTGATAGGACACTCGTCACAGGGCACAACACGACCCTAACAGGTGACACTGGGGCACAGTGTACTATGCACCTACTGTAAAAACCATTAACGCGTGTTAATACTGTCATTGATTGGTTATGTCATTAAATCTATTTTCATTGTAAATTAATCTACACACATTATGCACGATTCCTGGAGAATTAATAGGTTATTAAAGCAATTATGAGCTGCATATTAGACGTCGGAAAAAATTGTAAATTTGTAATTAACTATTTCAATGACAGAAAAATAGAACATTTATAAACGTCTGTTGTTAATATTTGCAATGGAAAAAATTTTTGTAAGCTTTGATTGAAGCAAAAATTAATTATTGTCATCCTGTACAATTATGATTTCTTATATTGATAATACTAAATATTGGGTTGTACAGAAATATTTCTTCTGAAACATTTTAAAACTTTATTTTGGTCTTATTGATCTTATGGGATTAGATTACATACAGACAAATCATAATAACGCATTTTATCAGCAAAATAAAATTCTCAAAAATGCAGCTCATATTGCTTTAATGGAAATGAGAAATTCAAAAAAATTCTTAATTCCTCTTGACTCATAAACAAAAAGTTGCAGCATAACATTTATTTTTATGAATTGGGATATTTTCCAAAAGATTTTACAAACACAAGACAAATCTTACATTCTGTTATATGCCTATTCAACAGCCTGGTGATACGTGTACTAAACACTGATAATTTATTAAATAAAAGGATGAAACTGCCGAGAAGTAAGTTGCATTTCCTCATTAAAATAAACCTTCCATCCTGTCCGAAGTATACAGATTATAGTTTATAGACTTACCCCCGGCTATTCTAAACATTCATCAGTTTTTATGGGACATTTATTAAACGTGAATTGGAACACCTATTGGCTTTTTCAATATTTGGATAACAAACAAAAGAAATACGTAGTATTGGAAATCAGCCATGCAGAGATCAGTAAACTCTCGCTTTGTTTTACTAATAAATGATCTCCTAAATCGTTATTTTTAAAGTATATAAAATTATTTAACCGAATTAAAGTGGTACTTACCAAATGTCAAATAATAATAATAAACCAATAATTAGTCCATCTACACTTTAAGTACATAGCACAGAACATTTATCGGGTGGCCTCCCATCAGTTATTACTCAACAACACAAATGAAATTAACAAAACACAGTTGAAAATTAACCAATAAGGCATATTTCTTGAATGACATATTCTGTAAATGCTGAAAATGCAAAACGACCATACCTTGTATCTTGATTGTACAGTGCTAGAATGGATGTCCAGTTGTGCGATTAAGGTGTCCAGCTTGTCGCCTCAGGCGCCAGTGATAATTCACAAAATACAAAGGAAATTCGACAACGTACGCAAATTTATTTAAGTACTGCCACGTACGATATATAATTATTATGTTAAGTTATTGAATTTTTATATTCTTAAACTATGTTCTTGTCTTAGGGTCTATTTTCTTTTTTACAACAAAGTGACGTGTAGTAAGAAATAACAATTTAAAAGAAAAATGATGTAGGATATTTTTGTTGTTGAAAAATTGTAATAAACTATTTTAATGACAAGAAAAAAATTTGTAAAATGATTGTAAACATCGTTCATATTTTCAACGGAAAAACTATTTTTAAGCTTTGATTGAAGCAGAATTTCATTTTTGTCGTCCTGTACAATATTCAATTCTCACACAATATACATATAATATTCCATTGTAAAGAAGTCTTCTGTAAAAATTTTATGCTACCTTTGAGTTTAATTGAACATCAAGATTTCAGTTACAAAAAAAAATTATCAAAATGACACACATTAACATCAAAATAAAATTCTTTAAAAATTTAGATCATATTGCTTTTTAAAAGTGGTCATTAGGAATACCAAAATGTATTTTAAAAAAAAACTACGCTTTTAAAATTAACATAAAATATAGCAAATATGCATTCTAATTTTCTCAAATTTTAATAAATGCAAGTATTCAAACACAATGGGAAAATGCTTTATGAAAAGCAGCGAGGTAATTTTGATAAGGATAAAGTATGAAATAAAATAATGAACTTAATAAGAAGCAATTTAGCTATATTTTTTCTTTCCTATTTTGGCAATAATTAGCACAACAGCGAAACAAAGAGTCTTGAAATGGACTACCAAATTATATTTAATAATATCAGAAACAATGCTCGAATTCTGAAGATTCGTTTTCCTATCCCATGTCTTCTGTTTCAAAATGTTCTATGAAAAACTGTAAAGCCTGTGACATTTTGATAACACTTTTTTCACCAACAATCTTACCGGACAGAGTTTCTATACCAAAACTTTGGAAAATCTGCACTGCAAATCTTCTAATATTGCCTACGGAATAGTATGTAATCTGTGTGGACTTGTTTATGTTGGTGAACACAAGAGATCACTTAATAAAGGAATATCAGGTCATCGATTTCAAATAAATCTTGGGGGTCGATCAGCAGCTTTTATACACACATTTTAATTTACCTGATCATTCTATTTTAGCCCATGAATATTCGAAAAGATTTATCACCACACAAACAGTCCATTACTGAGTACACCTTTCCGTAGACAACGAGAAGAATTTTGGATTAGAAAACTAGGGACAGCCTTTCCCAGTGGTTGTAATGACAAAGTCGATGGTGTTAGACATCTTTCCAGTCGACAGTGTAACAATGTAAATGTGATGGGACTTTTAAGCCATGCACAGAGACGTAAGCGTGGTCGGTCTTACAATAAACCTTTAATGCACGATGTCTCTTTGATTTATTATGCAGCAATATACCTTCATCACCTGCATACGGAGATTAAATCTCAGTTGATTCGATACGCAAGAGCATGATCTGCGTATTAACAATTTTTAAAACGAGGTAAATTATTGACAGACAAGTTGATGAAACCAGAATTTCAACAGTCTCGTTTAAAGTTATCATTTCGTAAGTTCTACCATGACCTTGTCAGCCAATACAATTTATCATTGAGTCAAATGCTGACTGACGTTTTTCATACTATTTGTTCGTCCATTATTTATACACTGAATTGACGACTGATTTTCCGTTATTTCCCGATCATGACAAGGAGCACACGGCGGGTGTGAACGGTTGGCAGGAGATGTTCACTCTTCCATGGCACCCGATCCCACGTCTGATGTATTGGAGGTCCATGTTTGCTCTGCTCCTATTTTGTATTGTTTTATTGACTTTGATATTGAATACTGTTCGTTATCTCCATATCCTTCATTCATTACTACCTTATGTAATTCAACAGTAAGGTCCCTATCATATTCGCACCAAACTGTACTCTGTCCCTTTGAAACTTTTAAACAGTCTTCTTGAAAAGGTCAAGGAAAGCCCTTTTTTTGATTCCTCGACATCAGAATATAGGGTAGGATCAGTGATTATGGATATTGCAAATCATAGGCTTTCAAACCCCCACGTTTCACTGAAGAAAATGCAGCTAAAACAATATAATCCGTCTTTTCACAACAAATAGATTAATTTATTTTGATCTCTTTTCTCTCAATGTTTTAAAAAAAACAAGAGAGAAAACGTGTGCTGATTTTGTCAATCGCTGGTAACAAAATTTTATAACAAAGAGCTTTATATTTATATAATATTATTATCCAATTATGGACGCAATGCTTATGATGTATTTAACTTTGTATATTTATTTATGTTTAATTTTAATACATTATATTTTGCCAGTCTTTCATTTGTACATATAATGTAACAGTTTATATATTCAGTTAAATCTGTATTAATTACGTTAAGGCTACTATATAAGTTATCCCTCTAAATCTAGTACAGTTCTTCAACATTCACTTGTTATTCGAATCGGGATAAAAAGGGTTGAGATAATCTTCCCGGTTATCTTTAAACATATCAAAATCTATATATTCGTCATCTGATGAATCCTGGAAATTAGTTTTACTTGCATCGATTTCCTTCACAACACCTCTTTTGTTTAGGAGTTCATTACTGTCTATCGGTGCTAGGTAATCGTTTACAATGATGCCTCCCTGTTGTAATTTTGTCTTCTCTTCTTCTGTTGAGCCATCATCTCCGGACGCACAGACAGTAGACAGAGAACCTTCAGAGCCAGTTCTTGGAATGTCACTGGAGGAGCTCGTGTTCACACAAGATAATGCACTGTCTGAACTTTGATTAACTGAGCTGCTTGAGTTTGCCCATGATAGTTCACTGTCTGAATTAAGATTAGCTGAGCCGGGATTTGTCCTCGATAATGCACTGTCAGAACTTAGATTAGATGAGCTGGGATTTACCCATGACAAAATGCTGTCTAATCTTGGATTACCACAAGACTCGATGCTCTCTGTATCTTCTGATGATGCAGCTGAGCTTTTTATACTAGGCTTCTTTTGTTGTCTCACGTTAATTTTTTGTTTTGCCAGGCTACGTTTGGTATCTGCTCTATCAAAGTTTGACGTACTCATATATATGGGATTTTCTTTGGAATATTGAAACTCCATTTTCCCAACACTGGTGTTACATGATGGTTTGATCATTTTTGTGAATCCTTTATATTCACTACCCAATTTGGAAAATTGTTGTTCATTATCAGTTTCTGGAACGCACGGTACGGGATTTGAGGGATGAATGGACAGATCATTTGGATTGAGGTTTCTAGGCGGAAGCTCCGGCCCATCAAGCTCCTCATAAATAACATCACTGAAGCAATCATCCACACCATCTTCATATAAGGACAACAATCTACAGGAATATTCAGATGATAAAAAATTATGTATAAAGATTTATATGGTTGTGCAATATGACACGATGCAGTTTATTTTATAATCATTCTTATAAATAGAATAAATAAATGTTTATGCAAGTTATACAAGTTTTTGTCGTTTACTTTGTCGTTATCTCTAGAAGGTCTGTACACGTGGGTCTCTGTGTTCGATCTCTGTTCCAGCATCTTAGCATCATCTTAAACAGGTCATCAGGACAGTACATCGGCTGTTGTGGAACCTCACCAGACAAAATGTGTCCTACCAACTGAAAAAGGGGAAAAATAGTTTTAAGTGAATGGATTTTTTCTTATTCACCAAGGTTTTCATGGCGAATATGACCGTTCGACAGGAGATTCTTACTCCGTAGTGGCACCTATACCAATCTGATATTTTTTGGAGGTCTATGTTCTGATTTAAATTTATTCAATGGATTTGTGTGTTTGTTGATTGTTCCTTATCTCTGTATTTTAGGTAAATTATCAGAGAGAGAGAGAGAGAGAGAGAGAGAGATATGGAATGAGGAAAGACTGGTGGTACCTCTTCTTTCGAAATTCTGCAGAAAGGCACACAGCTAAGTGATGTAGACACAGGATTTTCTAGATTTATTTCAAGTCCCATGTAAAATTCATAGATTGTCATTCCTAACATGTAAATATCACCCTCTTTTGAATATTGACCATGCTGTAGTGTCTCTAATGGGTACCTGCAATAAAAATAAAATCATATGATATCTAAGAAAAGGCAATATCGTAAATATGTATTAATATTTCGTTTGCTGAAAATCAAAATAATAATCACCAGTTTCTCCGATCAGTAAATACTTCATCTATGACGCTATCATCAAGAACTTCGCCGGGATTAAGAAATGTCATACGACCTAGTCGTGGAGCGAAAACCTGTAAATATGTTTATTATTTTTCTTTATTGTTCCAACTATCTGATTGACTCAAACTGGATCACATGATCAAGTATAAAAAGTGTTACAGACTGGATGTTTCTATTTTAAAAATTTATAAACCTACTGTTTCTATGGAGCAACAATAGTGCTGACGTCACAATAGTATTTATAGACTGGATGTTTCTAAAAACAGATACTGCGGCTGGTTTTCATTACTGTGACGTCATAATGCAATGACTTAACAATGCCTTGTATGAGAAGGTACTGAGTATTATAAAGAAGGATTTTAAGACATTTTTTATTAACTGATAAAAAATAATAAAACAATTGTAGCCTTTTGATTCGGTACAATCCCTCGATATATAGACCTTAGAGTAAGAATATCGACCTCGCACTCCGTGCTCGGTCGATATGCTTTCTCTAAGGTCTATATATCGAGGGATTGACCTCATCAAAAGTCTATAATTGTATATTATTATTTTTCTTCATTGTTCCAACTATCTGATTGGCTCAAACTGGATCACATGATCAAGTATAAAAAGTTACAGACTGGATGTTTCTATTTTAAGAATTTATAAACCTGCTGTTTCTAAAATTGGAAACGTTCTTCTGTGAAGCAACAATAGTGCTGACGTCACAATAGTCTTTATAAACTGGATGTTACTCAAAACAGATACCGCAGCTGGTTTTCATTACTGTGACGTCATAATGCAATGACATAACAATGCCTTGTATGAGAAGGTACTGAGTATTAGAAAGAAGGACTTTAAGACATTTCTTATTAACTGATAAAAAATAATAAAACAATTGTAGCCTTTTGATTCGGTACAATCCCTCGATATATGGACCTTAGAGAAAGCATATCGACCTCGCACTTTGTGTTCGGTCGATATGTTTTCTCTAAGGTCTATATATCGAGGGATTGACCTCATCGAAAGGCTATAATTGTATAATAACGTTTAAAACATATCATGCTATATAGCAAAAGTAAACCTCACAAGGAAATCCCTGCTTCATTACAACGTTAAGTCAGAATATACTACCTTCTTTTTGTGATGATCATAATAAAGATGGCGACAGCAGATGTCACGTGACAGCCAACCACGGTCGTGTAGACAACAGATAAATTGGACAAGATGGTGAATTATAAGAGTGTACTTAATGTTATTATTCTGGTCATCTGGGTCTCCATAAAATCTTCTCAGTGAGAGTTCCGAAAGAGTATCTCCAATATCACATCTGTAATGCTTTAGAATATTTAATTGTTAAATACATGAACCACAAACTGAAAAGATCTTAATATTGGATATCTCACAAAATATCATTCCAAGTAATGAATTGGCCCGTTTTTCCTAAAGACCTGATGTTGTGTTATTAACTTTGACTTCAAAATATAGAATAATCTATGATCATATATGCGGTTTTTTATTGAATATTTATATGATCTGGACTCAATAGTCAGACAAAGGAAGCTACAGTATAGTCTGATGGAAGGGGATGCCCATCTCCAACAATTCTTATGGAGTTACTTCTTTAAGAGAAAGTACAACTTTCGCATTGTTTCCAATGTTTAAAAAAATGAATTAATGGAATACCATATTATATGGTTCCTTCCTCTCCACTTTTGGTGGCCATGTCAATATGTTCAGGATATCTTGTAAAGGAGACTTGCTCAATTCAGTAAACGATACTTCATAGAACCTCTGGGAAATAGGTTCCTGGACTTCCAGTTTCTGATTCTAAAGTTTGAAAACTAATCTTCAATTTCCCTCGAACTTCAAGTAAAACATAAATTTATAGTAAACAAGTTATGTTTAAAATATTATTCAGACCTTTCTGTGAGTGATTGGAGCATCACTTGATGCGATATCAGCCTCTGTAATCGCAAGGACTGTTTTTGGACCCCTCAATGTTTTACGCAAATTGGCATAAGTCTTCATCGGATCTGAAAAATTAAAATTCTTAGGAAAGATGCCTATGTTAGCCACAATACATTTTACATATATGACAATGCCCAAACACTATAATCCGTTTATATGTTGTACTGCTGGATTGCTAGGAATTGATGGAAAAGAATTAAGAAACCAGGCCTGATCAGGGTTGGGAGAAAGCTGGCGTTTGGAAGCATTGCCAATAAATGTTTTGATTGATTTCTTGAACATACAGTTGATACATATGCAAGCAGAAGCCTCTAGTGCATAAAGATAAGTCCCTAGTTTAATCAGCCTGAATTACATCTTACGGAATCAAAATCTGGAAAAAGCAACGCTTACTTTATATTAAAGAAAATATTTCATTGTCTATGTAATCTTAATTTCTTAAATAAGAGAACTTCATACAACAAGCATACTGAGATTTTGCTGAAGCAATGCAATCCCTACCAGCTATAAAAATCTTTGCAAAGACTCGTTTTGCATGAGAGGAAACAAATATTCACATTAATTGTAAATAAATTAATAATAAAAAAAGAAAAATTTCAACTCACGTACTTAAGGTTTTAAAAAAGGTTTTATATGTGACGAATGGTTAGAACATGTTCTGCGTTTGAACAATTTCTGAAACGAGGTAAACTACTGACAAATAAGTTCATAAAACAAAGATATCAACAGTCTCGTTCAGAGTCATCATATGCATATGTAGTTCTATAGGCGAAACAATGATCCTGTCAACAAATACAATCTGAAATTAAGTTGAATGCTGACTGACGTTTTTCATATTAATTGTAAGGCCAATGATATTTATACACTGAATCCCCCATGGCATTTTGCGTTTTTCCGAACATGACGATGTTTACTCCTTCACAACACTTGTTCCACTTCTGTAATAGAGGTCCGTGCTTGCTCTGCTAACTACATGTATTCTTTAAATGGATTTTTGAGAAAGATTTCTGTTTCTTATCTTCACATTTTATCTCCTATTAACTAGTCCTCTTTGTGCTTTGAGCACATGCCACATGCCTGCACCGAGGACCTCAATCTTTGTCTGTCTGCTGACATTGACTGTACCATGCCCCAAGTCCATCCCTGATCTTTCATTTTTCTTTTTCTACTGATCGACACCATGTCTCCTTTGGTCGTTTTCTGCTTCGCTTTTCTAGTTTTGTCCATCTTAATGCTACCCTTCGTATAGCTGATGATTTCATTCTCATGATATCGCCTATCCATTTCCATGGTTTCTCTTTAATCTGGTCAGATTAGTAGCTTTGTATGTTCTTTCATACAGTTTCTCATTACTGATCTTGTTCGTCCAGAATACATGAGTATTCTACGGAGACATTTTGTTCGGAAGGTATCTAGTTTATGGGTGATGTTGTTTGTCCTCTCCCATGACTCAGATCCGCTAGGCATATCCTTGATCAGTGGCTTTCCATCAACGGAACGTACAGGGACGTACTTATCAATAACCATTGATAATTTTTTATCCTACTCTATACTTGACCAAGTAATCAGTCTTGCTTTGAATATCCTTATAATGCTTTGCGAGGAAATTGATGTCATATGCAGAGTCAAGATCTTCTAGTGACTGTTAAAATGTCCAGAATATTCCTCTACCTGCCTGAATGGTAGTGATTTTAATTAGCCAGTCTATGCAGAAAGTAAAGAGCAATAGTGAAAGCAGACATCCCTGTCGTACCCCTGTTAGATTGGGAAGCTGTCTGTTAGTTCAGAGCCACGGATCAACTTTGCCTGGAAGTCTATGTATAGCATCTGAATGATGGATATGACCTTGTTAGGGATGCCATAATATCTGAGGATCATCCATAAAGTAAGACGATGTATACTATCAAATGCTTTGGCAAAGTTGATGAATTGGCATACAGCGTTGTGTTCCATTCATTTTTATCTCCTATTAGTATAACATAAATTGTTCATAGAGCAAACCACAGGAAAAACTACAGGTGCTACTTTCACGTTTACGTCTAAGTCTACTAGCTACGACCAGCTAGTGAAACGGTCAACAGATGCATAGAAGGAGTAAACATCCCACGCTGACCTGCCACGTCTTCTGTGGAGCCTTTACATTGATCAGATAAACGGAGTATTGTGTGATGAAATCGGATTAAAAAAAACAATGATCTAGCATTGATTGGGAATTTCGTCTGTCATAATACGACTCAATAAAATGTGTATTTGCAGACATTATAACGACCAAAGAATTTGTAAAATTTGTAAAGCTATACCATAGTGTACTATATGTATATAATACTGCAAGCCCGGTCATGTTCCAAAACATGGAAGTTCAGTACCTCTTCAGGAATATCCTATCTCAATATCAATAATTTGAACATTTCAATATACTAGGTATGAATAAATGTACATCTAACAATAATTAATACACATTTCCAATTATTTATCTCAAAGTTAAATTAAACCCCATAACCTATAGAGAACTTTTAAAATTTTAACACAAGAGAACGAGATAAATTGAGATAAAACCTGAATAATCTTAGCGATATGGGAAAACGGAAGGTATAGGTAAGAATAAAAGAAATGTACGATAGTACAATATAATTTGTGAACAGTAATATTTGAAAGTGAAAGAATGCTAATCAGGTTAATTAAAGACATATCTGAATAAATAATTTTGTGCATGAAAGTTAATAATAAGATAAGATCAGATTATTACTTTTGTATATATTCGTGTATAAGGAGTGCACCATATGTGAAAGACACTGAAGTACTCACTTTCTTTTCGACCTTTAAGCTGCTTAATAAGTTCTGGTACTTCCTGAGTGTTGAAAACATAATCATGCAATATTCTCATGCATTAAACATGCAAATCATGCAAACCTTGACAGAAATTCGTAAGATAAGTGAAGAAATGAAAGAATATATGGAATCATGTATTATAAATACACAGGATAGAGCTACTTTGGCGCTCACAAACACAAGACTTGTTGAGTCCTTTACGACAAATGTGGTTCTGACACTTCAGTGAGATTGTTTTAAAAGTATTATCTTTGCATTGCACTCTGAATACTTAATATTATTTTAGAAACAGAAAATTGAATGAAATCAGTGCACAATAGTAATGGTAGAATGTGCTCTTTTGTGTAGTCTTCAAATACCAATATAGAATATTAGTAAGTATTCAATGTTAATTCTACATAATACGATTTCACTAGAATTTTATTTACTGCTCAGCCAGTCTGATAAGCTGTGTTCTACCCCTTACCGTCTGTGGTTCCTTTTGTGATGGGTCCAGATCTGGATACTTCATGTCCTCTCTGTGCGAATTGCTCAGTCTCTTTCTGGATCCTTTGAGAATTGAGTTTAAAAATTACAAAGGACTATATGCGGTATACTGAATATTCCCCCCCCCCCACAAGTCATATTTTGAAAAGTTCTCTACTGAAATGTGTTGAATTGTATACACTGTATGAGAAATATGAATTGACAAAACATAATATAGTTTCAGAGTAGGTTATTGACAATCTTTATTTTTATGATGTCACAAACTAGTCGGATTTTTAATTATTTTTTTTTCAGAAAGAGGGCAAAATGGACAAAATTTTAACAATTTTTACCAAAAACTTTATAGAGCACAGGCCTGCTCCGGTATAATATTTATTTATTTCATTTATTTTATCATTCTACACATTATATCAAAATATATGGTGACTTTTACTTAAATTATCGACGTAATTTATACCTTTCTCTGTAGAAATCATGAAAATTTTAGACTTTGGTCATTTTCCTGACGACATTTCAAACATATGATGTCATTGCTAATGAAAATATTCAGTGCTTTTAAGTCTGCAGATATTCCCGTTCTTTAGAACATAAATATATATTTCTCCGTCAAAGTTGGGGGTAAATGTTGGTCATTACCAAATAAGTCAATTGAAATAAATACATCAACACATATTTTTTGTAAAATATTTCACACTTTTAAGGGATATCATAGAAAACGTGATGCTGCTCTTTCAAACTGAGAGCAGTTGAGAACAGTTGCAATGATACAAACTGATCAATAATTATAAAAGTGAATTGTTTTCAGTGTTCACCTGATGAAGATCTGGCTAAAAAGTTATTCAGTTGCTGCAGACCGCTCTTCAAGGGTTGTCTAGCTTGAGGATTGGGGTCCACAAACTTTAGTATGATCTCGTGGATCTCCCTAGGAATGCATGGCCATTGCCTCGGTGCAAGGTTTTGGAAGATGATCTAAATTTTAAAATGGTCAACTTCAAATAATACTTAATAAAAATAACATTGTTATTAATATTGATATACAGGGTATTTTAAATATCTTTGATATGTTAATTATAATTACCAATTGCAATACGTCATCTAGCGTGTATCCATACAACTCGGTATAAGGGTGACAACCATGTGTGAACAGTTCGTAAATAACCTGCCCCACCATATAAACATCACTTAGAGTACTGAATCGGTCGTTAAGAATCGATTCAGGAGCAGACCATCTCAGGGGAATAAGATTACACTCTGAAAATGGATAAAAACAGTCATTTGTCCACTCAATCAACATTTATTATTCAATTATTTTGTTTTTGATTTCAATTTTCCTTTCGTTGATGTGCAATACTACCTGCGACAAATTCCGAGCTGTGACCCTCAGATGCGGTAACAAGACCAGATATAATGATTTGTCCTTCTTTGTTGATAGAGAAGCTAGATGTCGTGAGTCCTCTGTGAACGATTCCTTTAAAGTGAAGGAAGTCCACTGCACTGATGATGTCAGCGGCCATGGCACTAAGTTTCTGAATACTTAACCAGTCTTTGATGCTTCTTTTCTGGAGAAGGAAGTCTGAAAGCAACATACTGTCTCGTGATGTCTGCGTGACAAAGAACAATGGCAAAGGTCGACACTGAAATCCAACCAGTGGCAGAACATGTGACGTCATACCCTCCCTGCACAGTAGGTGGAGCATGTCTCTTTGTTTCTCATGGTCTCTCATTATATCCTTCTCAACTGAGTTTTCTCTGTAATCCTCCATGATTCCCTTCATTATGCAGTTCTTTGATGGTAGAAGTATTTGGATGTTCACGTCTTTGTTGTCATTAATAGTCCCAGAAAACCGACACCAATTGGGTGGAACGGGAGCGTTGTCATTGGTTACACACTCATCCTTTTCAATAGAAATGTTCAATGGATGAAGTAGCTTCTCCACATGTGAAACTGTAATTTGTCTTAGGTCAAAAGGAGAATGAGAATTGTTTTTGATCAGCATTGAAAATATTTCATAGACTATCTGTTTTTCTTTGTGAAATAGCAAACTCGAGATTTCATTCAGAAGGTATTTTCGAATGGATTGATGAACTCTATCGGTATCCATGTATAACTGAAGTAAACTCAAGCAGTGCTGTGCTATAAAAAAGAAAGAATAACGGATGACCAGAAGTAATTCTATATGTGTTTCCAATTGGAATAATGATACAAAAGAAATCTGACATACGAGTACCTTGAAAAGGAGACACCTTTAAAATTCTGTACACCATCTTCGTTATCAGATAAAGCTTGGGAAATAGTTCAAAATTGTCTTTCTTCTCCTTTTTCTTTAATTTTAAAGTTGTCTTCAAGCAGGTATCCAATAAATCAAAGAGAGAAGCATGGTTTCCCTCCGGTTGACGTATAACCTTGTAAAGAAACAAAGAATCTGAAACATGTTTTATATTTGGATATTTTACTGGAAATGATGTAATGTAAGTGGTAACCAAATAAAATATATAACTGCATAATGTGGTTTATGTTACCGAAATGATTTGATACTCAAGAGCATGGCCTACTAATGAACAATTTCGAAGACAAGACAAACCTATTGACAAATAAGTTGATCAAACAGGAAACAATATTCACGTTTAAAAGCCACTATTTCGTAACTTCTATGGTCAATACAATATCAGCGTTTTTCATACCTTTAAACACCGAATTTTTTTGCCTGTGTTTGCTCTGCTTGATATTTGAACTGGGTAATGAGCATGACTACTGTTCGTTATCTATATATTGGTACAGAAATTTGCCTTATTTAGCAAAGAAATACAAAGGTAAAGTTTTCTCATAATAACAAAATCCCTACCAGATTCATAAGACCAAATATAACCGTTGTCTGCTCTGTCTCGGAGAACACCTTAAAGTCATCTCTAATCTTCTGTCTGTTTTTGGCGTTTCTCATCGCATCCGACCAGTTCCCCATCCGAAGCACAGATACTTCTTTCAAATGAATGGACAAGCAAGATGCAGATTTTTGTAAATGTCCAAAGAACCCCTTCATTTTCTCATTGTCGGTGTGTAGTTTTTCAATCTTCTTGATTTTCTCTAGAAGTTCCTTACAAATGCGTTCAGTGGGAGATTTGATGGTAGAATTTAGACTGGCATTGAATGCCATTAAAAGGATCGAGAAAGTCACCATCACAGTGTGAAGCAGAAGGAGCAGAAGTTCTTCATTCCCAGACCAAAGGTCAATCATTTCAATAAGGTCTGTAATCCCATTTATCAAATCTTGAGTGTTGCAAAGTCGAATGTCTGTGGTGTACAATAAATGCTCTATGTTTCGGAAGGCATTGAGTTGTATATTTCTCTTTTGACACCTTAAAAGAATAACCAGGCCATGGAAATTTCGGCATTCTAAACACAATCTCATCACAGAAGTTACGATATGTCTCTCCAAATCAGATGAGTCCTTACAGCTATCCACGTTAAACATATGCACAAGTTCGTCTAACTCTAGTTTTTCTGCAAAGAATACAAAATATACACAACAAACACTTACAATTTTACAAACGTTCACAAATGAACTTTCGAAAAAGATGACATACGTTTCATATACCTACCATCGTATTTCAAGTTTGGTAAAATATATTCCTCAAATACAAAAGACCCTGAATAGCTGCCTGAACTCAAGAGGGTTGTTGTTTCGATAAATTTGTCTCTATTCATTAGGCATTTCCTTAGTGACTCTCCTTTGACGTCAATGAGATGTGTGTATCCCATTTCATCTTCTTTGGTAAGCTCTTTGATTACAGGAGTCTCTGTGTAGGCTGTTTTTATCTCGGTGTTTTCTCTGTTTGTTTTGTAGTCTTTCAAATCAAAACTCCGACTGTTGATAAATTTTGATGAATGCCCAGTGGTAGTGGAATAACCTTCGTTAGTGCTCGGCTGAGAGACCAGCTCCTTCTCTCCCGTCTCCATACTTGATTGACAATGACCATCTACAATACCTTCTGTGTATGGATTCTCTGGCCTGATGTCATCATATTGACTGAGTTCTAACACTACCTCTTTTATTTTATCGAAAAGTCTGTTCATATTAGCTTCGTTTTCAACATTGGAGATGGTATTTTTGAAAACAGAAGATTTTACTTTTCCAATACTTCCTGTGAGAACAACATTTCCTTCTTGCATGCTTTTAAAATTATCTTTGAATTCTTTTTCGCTATGTTTACAAACAATGACTGCTGTCGCAATGGCAGTACCATTCTGTATTTCTGAACATCGAATACTTGTCAATGTTAAATGAGAGAAATTCAGTTTGGCGTCCCTACATGACTTAACTAGTGATGAGACCGTAGGCTGGTGGCAGTCTACGTCATTACACGTCATTATGCAGACGTCAAATTGCTTACGTCTGTCATATGCAGAGCTTCTCGGTGATGTTGGCGGGGTTTTATCAGATTGTGCGTAAGCCATTTCTGGTTATATAGTGACCTACAATAAATAATTGCTCAAAGAAATAACAAAAGTTTCTTAAGTGTAATATAATATAATATTATACTTTCATGTAAATTAGTTGAATCTGATTGGTTGAGAAACATTTGTTAAAAAAAACACTATTACCCGCTGAATAATTAAGCCACGCCCTCCAGCGTAGCAACAGTCAACATTGCTTGACGGCGTGTGGTATTCCAAAAAATAGCGACTGCGCAGAATTTATGCGCGTACGGTTCACTGTTATATGTATTTGTATAAAACATTCAGTATAATATAATAAATATAGCATGTAGTTGAGTGTAACATTGAAAATTTTCACCCCTCGAAAACCATTGTCAACCTCGGCTGCGCCTCGGTTGACAATGGTTTTCTTGGGGTGAAAATTTTCAATGTTACACTCAGCTACATGCAATATTTATATACTGTGGAATCATCAAAATTCCAAGGGTGACAATTTATGTGGATTGCTTATTATAAATTTTACAGGATCGTGGGGACGTTATTTCTACTTTACCAATAATAGAGAAATATGACTATGAAATCATAGGTTTTTTTTATTCGTGGAGGATGACTGGTACCCTCGGATTCCACGAAAATTCAGCAACCAAGAAATCAAATTATCCACAGTATTCTATGTGTAACTTGTAGTGATGAAATGCCAACGTTTGGTAAAATGACTTTATATAAATACCTCTAGAAACCCATGAACTTTTTTAAATCAAAAAGACGTAATTTTATATAAACATAAAATTACATATTTACATAATGTTTTCAAACTAAATTTAGTTTCATTCAGTGTGACAGTTACACAAATAACCCCTCCCCTACAGGCACTTTCTTCGTATACGGGACAGTGCCAACTTAATTTTTAAGAAGGGGTAGGCCGTTTACAAAGCAAGTGTCTGTGCCCCCCCCCCCTAAAAAATATAATAAAGAATCTGTGAAAGTATCATTCAATTTTATCCAGTGGTTTAGGAGTTGCGGATAAGGGATGGATACCCTTCAATATTGTAGAAAAAATGGCTGTGGTTATGTTCTGTTTGGGAAACCCAAAATGTGTGTCTGATCAAAAGGTATAAAGTATGAGGTGCACAGTGGCACTATATAACAAAGATTATGTGAAAGTCTTCATTCGGTGGTAAAAGAGGAGTTGTGGATAAGAGATGGGTACCCCAAGGCCTACTGAACAGACGGAAAGACAGACAGCTAGACGTATGGACAGACATCACGATCACTATATACCCTCCCGCATTTCAAGCGGAAGATATAAAAATTACTAGTATATTGGATATCAATTGACCTTGCCGATATGTTAAAATTGTGTGCATATCCCTTTGGTTTTGGAGAAGATTATTATTCCACATGTTCAATGCAAAGGAGTATTATATCGACACTGGACATACAGATAGAGGAGTCGTCGGATTTAGAGTTGTGTCATCATTCAGTATAAACTAGGTCAAGTAGGTCAACAATACCCAGGGTAAACAAGGGAAATTCCCTGATATCGTGATTTAAAAATAGATTTCTAACGAGTTTATCGTTATTTAAAAGACCTAATTAAAGACAGCTCTCTCTCTCTCTCTCTCTCTCTCTCTCAATCAATCAATCAGTCAATCAATCAATATTCTATTAATTAGCAATGTTCAAAATCTGTTTCAAATTAATTGCATACATCAGTGCACTATCTAGAGATTATGAAACATAAACCTTTCTTCTCTTATTATTATTTTCTTTTCTTTTCTTAATTTTTATTATTATTATTAATTTTTACCAAACCATAAAAGTAATTAGCTAAGAACAAATGACTGCCTACCTCTCTGTTGCGCTGTATACCTCAAAGTGATGTGTTGGATTTACCTAATGCACTTTAAATAGCTGGATTACTCATACGACTTCTGGTTAAAGACTGTGCGTGAACTCTTCAAACGAAATTGAAAATCTTATTAAAATTTCTTTACAGCATGTTGTGATTGCGAGGCCAAGAAACAAAAGGAATTAATAATTTAGTAAGAGCGTAGTCATTGTCGCTGACCACAGGTTTCAATTCCGCCCCCGTTATTTTTTTCAAAGAGAAAGAGAGAGCTAGCGAACTGGAAATTGAAGATCCAGGAAGTTTTAAAAGATGGTTTAAGTTTAAACGAGAAAAAAAACATAAAAGAAATTTGAGAGAGGAAATTTTAAAGCACTTGTACAAATCGGTCTCCCCCTCTCATAAAAGTAAAGCTCAGTAGTGATAGTACATAGCAGAAAAATCTAGCTTCTGAAACTTGTAACACCAGTCATATACCCCCTGCTTGAAAAGTGAGAGGGTATATAGCAATCGAGATGTCCATCAGTCCGTCCTTCCGTCTGTTAAGCTTTGTGGTGCCCATCTCTTATCCGCAACACCTCTGATACCACTAAATGAAATTGCACCTCCTAGTTTACTTTTTGACCATACATGTTATATATCTGAGTTTACAGGGGCAAACAAACATGGACACGGTCTTTCTTTCTGAAATATTGAAGGGTACCAATCTCTTATCCGCAACTTCTCCTTTGCCACTGAATAAAATTTATTGATATTTTCGCAGATTATTTATTACATACATGTAATGCCATTGTGCGTCCCCCATTTTACTTTTTTGTTCTGACACTTATTTTGGGTTTCCCAGAGCAAAACATGGACTTTGTCATTATATTTGAGACGGGGTATTATTTAGCGAGCCCATAGTACCTCTAGTTTTAGTTTCTTATGCAGATCGGGATGACTTACGAGTAAGGATAAGAGATGGGTACCTTTCAATATTACATTTACACTTCACCTACTGTAATTGAAACTAGATGTTGATAAGTCAGAAGTTTTTTAAATAGTTTTCTTCATACAATGCACAGGCCTTTAAATCGCATTAATTCGACTTACAAAAAAAATTATGTGTTAAAAAAATATACGAGTATACACCCCACATTCATTTCCCGCATTTAAGCGATCCAAATGCCTATGGTACAACGTGAAGAAGCAACAATGGTGTATCATTTACATAAATATTTTATATAATATCATTACACAAATTGATCATGAAAATACTCAGGTAAGCATGTGGCACATGCATAAATGGTATTTTGTATAAAACATTAATTATATTATAGATACCAAATCTAATTTAAGAATAGAATGAAGAATAAGATAACGTTGAAAAAAGACCTTTAGTAAGATTCTTCTTTGAAAAAAAAAATAAATTTAAATTTCGGTCCTTAATTAGCCTGCTATGTGGATGAAAATAACAATCCCGAAACCTTATAAATCTAATAATATCCTTTAAAAAAATAGAGGACAGAGCACAGAGTTTACTAAATGATACCCCCGCCTCCCATATGATTATTATGGTAAAGTCCATATTTTGCTCTGGGAGACGCGAAAAAGTGTCAGATCAGAATTAGGTGCACAATGATATTATGTAATAAAGAATCTGAAAGCATTGATCATTAAATTTTATTCAGTGGTGTAGGAGGAGTTGCGGATAATAGATGGGTACCTTTCAATATTATAGACAGAATGGCAGTGTCAATGTTTTGCTACATTTTGCTACAGGAAACCGGAAATATGTGTCCGGGTGTGGCACTTTCTAACAAGGATTATGTGAAAGTTCCATTCAGCGGTATAATAAGAGTAGCGGATAAGAGATGGGTACCCTTCAATATTGTAGAAGAAATGGCAGTGTCAATGTTTTCTATGGGAAACCCACAATATATGTGTCGGATCAAAAAGTAAAATGGAAGGAGTACAATGACACTATGTACGAAAGATTCTGTAAAAGTCTCATTAAATTTCATTCAGTGATAAGAAGAGTTGCGGATAAGAGATGGGTACCCAAAGCGTAACGGACGGGCATAAAGCTAGACGGACGGACGGACATCCCGATCATTATATACTCTCCCGCTTTTGAAGCGGGGGATAATTTGGCATCCACGTATAATAATGAGCTGACTGGATATGTTCTAGAAAACTGCCTTTTTATTAGGTCACCTGAGTCACTCAGGTGACCTATTGCTATCCGTTTTCGTCCGTCGTCGTGTGTCATGTGTTGTGTGTCGTGTGAGTGCGTCGTGTGTTAACACTTGAACATTTTCAGCTTCTTTTCTTAAACCACTGAACCAATTTCAACCAAATTTGGTATACAGCATCTATGGGTGAAGGAAAACAAAAATTGTGAATTTTATGGTCCCCGCTTCTCCTAGGGCCTGAGGGTTGGGGCCAAAACTACTAAAATTAATGAAATCTATAAAAAAAAATCTTCATCTTTACTCCTGGACATCAAGCAGGCAAACTGTTGGCATGAATGTAATGAGCATTGAGTCTTCTACCAAAATTGTGAAATTCATGGCCCCAGGGTCAGGGGTTCTAGTGCTAGGGCGGGCTATACCCGGTAATGATTTTATAGTGAAAATGCATTATTTCTTTGAAAGTCTTCTTCTCTGCTCCTGGGTGTTAAATACTCTGCTCCTTGGTATTAAATAAAATAACTAGGTACATAGTTATGATGAGCAAGAGTGCGCCTCTTTCAAAATTGTGAATTTTATGGCCCCAGGGTCAGGGGTTCTGGTGTTAGGGCGGGGCTCTATTGATTATATAGTGAAAATGCATTATTTCTTTGAAAATCTTCTTCTTTGCTCCTATGTTTTAAATAAACTAACTAAGTACATAGTTATTATGAGTAAGAGTGCCTCTTCCATGGCCAAAATGTGAATTTTATGGCCCCAGGGTCAGGGGTTCTGAAGTTATGGTGGGGCTCTGTTGATTATATTGTGAAAATGCATTATTTCTTTGAAAATCTTCTTCTTTGCTCCTGTGTATTAAATAAACTAACTTAGTATATAGTTATGATGAGCAAGAGTGCCTCTTCCAAATTTGTGAATTTCATGGCCCCTGTGTCTGGGGTTTTGCAATTTGGTGCAGGGGGGGGGGGGGTCTTTTGATTATATAGTGAAAATACATTAATTCTTTGAAAATCTTTTCCTTTGCTCCTGGGTATTATGCCAATGATCCAAGTATATACATTTATGATGAAGAAGGGTGCATCTAGCAAAATGATTACTTTCATGCCCCCTGGGTCAGGGGTATCAGGTGGGGGGGAGGGGGAAGGTTGCATAGTCTGAAAATAAATTAATGCTTTGAAATCTGCTCTTTGGTATTTATCAACCATTTTATGATAAAATTGCCAAAATTTTGAACTATGTGGCCCCAGCGTCAGTGGTTCCTTTGGGTTGGGGTTATAAAGTGGAAGTACATTTTCTTTTTATTACTCTGATCTACCTCTGGGTATTAAGTAAATAGAGTAAGCATCCTAAGTTTATAATTATGATAAGCAATGGTGCCTCTTTCAAAATTGTGAATTTCATGGTCTCTGGTTTAAAACACGAACCAAATTCAATTGTTGGAAAGTTGTTACACGATACTCAGGTGACCTATAAGGCCCGTGAGCCTCTTGTTAAAGAAAAACTCTTTCTTAACCCTTCAATGGATGAAAATCCAGAAATGTTATTGCACATCTACAGAAAACATTATATTTTTAAACTGATAGAGAAATATCAGATAATCAGAGATAAAAGCAATTCATTAGCAGGCAAAATGTACACTGTTCTGATTCTCTATTAATAAAAACTATCTTTTCGAATCCTTGCTGGCCAATAAAAGGTATGAGTCAGAAATTTATTAACAACTAGAGGTACTGTGAGCACTGAGCTCACCAAATGATTCCCCCCCCCCTTCTTTTGTGTTCCGTGTTTTGTTCTAGGAGACCCGAAATAAGTGTCAGATCAAAAAGTAAATTAGGAGATGCACAATGGCATTTTGTATGTGAAAGTATCGATCATTAAATCTTATTCAGTGGTAAAGGAGGAGTTGCGGATAAGAGATGGGTACCCTTCAATATTATAGAAGAAATAGCAGTGTAAATGTTTTCTATGGGAAACCCAAAATATATGTCGGATCAAAAAGTAAAATAGAAGGTGCACAATGACACTATGTAAGAAAAAGAATCTGTGAAAGTCTCATTAAATTTCATTCCGTGGTATAAGAAGAGTTGAGGATAAGAGATGGGTACCCTAAAGCGTAACAGACGGATGGACGGACATCCTGGTTACTAAATACCTTCTCACTTTTCAAGCGGGGGATACTAAATATAAGGTAAATGTTATTCATCTGTGCTTTATCAGCATAAAGCAAATAAAGAAGTGATGACATTATACTCACAGTTTCTATAAAGAAGGTTTGGGTATTTGATCACTTAAACTTTAAGTAGTAAGCAGTGCATGTTTTGGAATATGATTTTATATCATTTAGTGAGTTCAGTGCTCACAGTACCTCCCGCTTGAAAAGCGAAAATGTATACGGTGATCAGGATGTCCATCCGTCTGTCAGTTAGGCATTTAGGGTACCAATCTCTTATCTTAACTCCTCTTACACCACTGAATGAAGTTTAATGAAACTTTCGCAGAATCATTGTTAAATTACATAAATTCATTGTGCACCTCATATTTTACCCTTTGATCTGACACATAAGTTTGGGTTTCCCAAAGCAAAACATGGACACACATTCTATTTATAATATTGAAAGAGTACCCAACTCTCATCTGCAACTCCTCCTAAACCACTGAATAAAATTTAATTATACTTTCATAGATTATTTATTACACAATTATGCCATTTTTGACCTCGTATTTTACTTTTGAATCTGACACTTATGTCAGGGCTTCCAGAGCAAAGCATGGACTTTGCCATTATAATAATATAGGAGATGGGCGGTATCATTTAGTGAGCTCAGTGCTCACAGTACCTCTAGTTTTCATTACAGTGGCCAATGTGGGGTAGAAGCACTTTTTTTCTATAGAAACTTGACAAGTAGTTTTAGACATAAGGATACATCATCCTTTTGACATGCGAATGGCGGTACCTTGTTGGTGTGCAAAGAGGTGTCAGAATTCAATTATTTTCATCCCAGGGTCTAGTTGGGAGATGGAATGTTGTTTTCTACACACCTTGTTCCTGGTTGACTTATTGGTTGTGTCCTGTAGATTTGTAATATGGTTTCATAATTTTCATCAGAGAGGCCAATACAATAAAAAAAAAACATTTTTCTTCTACAAGAACATGGTTCAAAATATGACACTTACATTTAATGTTAACTGTAGCATGGCTTTTTCACTAGTAACTTAGGTATAAATAACAGAAAAAACTTATTTGAGGATAACTGTCTTTTAACAAAATCTAGTTTCAAGATTTTGCAATAGAAAATACTAGTAACTTAAAGAAAAGTTTTTCATTTTATTTTTTTTTGAATACCTACTACATTGTTATATAATAAAATAACAGATGAATAAACAATACTTGTGTATGAATTTAGCTTCTACAGTGAAGTTTTTTGACTGTTTACTTTTAGCTCCAATAAATAATTCATACTTGTGTGTTTCATGATTAAAGACCAATCTAAAGCTTATCAAAATAACTTCCATCGGCATCAGAAGCAAATTGTAAGGGGACATACAGAAGGGGGGGGGGGGCTAAAACAGACTTAAATTGTCTGTGTTTACAAGATAAGAAACAAATACCATATTTATTTAAAGATATAATATTTTACTTATGTGTACAATAAAACATAGTGCAGTTTCTAACAATACCTTACAAGAAATGCTGCCCAAATAAAATGCCATCTGAGGGTCAAAAACATTAACCTGTGACTTTATATACTGAGAATTCAAACAAAACAGATCACATTAAGCACAAGTCAAAGGGTCAAAGTTCACAAGTCATGTTGTCACACATCACTGGTGTTAACTGGAAAACTCTCAACCTTTATATTTTGTAAATATATGCTGCAGAAACTATAGAAAGCCACATTCCTAATTCTAATGAACAAAAAATCCAAATTAATAGAAGGAAGTAGGGACCTATAGTCATTGTACGGGTACCTGTGATTATTACCTATAGCAGACCTGACATTTAACTACTTCTTTGTAGTTTTAATTTTACTTCTCTAAATATAAAATCATATTTACACAGTTTTTCATTCTGAAATCTAGATATCATTATGACATTAATTTAGTAGCTATATCAAAATGAATATGATAAAAGTATTAGGTGTACTACATAGAAACAAAAGATACCCAAGCCTATAGGTGTAAAGCAATGAATATACAGGTGTAGCATAAAATCTACAATGTGCAGATCAATGTATAAGTAACATATGAAAAGAGAGAGGTATAATTAAAAATATACTGGGACGCAAATAAGAATGAGTATAGGATTTATAGAGGTATATCCAGTCTATAATACTAAATATATACTTTAAAAAACAGGGATACTGCATAACAGGAAAAAATTACCTCCACTAATTATATTTTTCCTTTCTTTCCCCTTTATCATATTTATTAAGGTGAACAAATTAAAAACCTCAGCTAAGTTCAAAATTGGGTTACACTTGAAAGTCAATCAACACAACTGAAATGAGCTATTCTAAACTGAAAAAAAAAATTGTTGACACATTTTGATGAAAGTTATTTTCAAATCACAGTATTAAGGATTTATATAACTTCACTTGTTTTGTTTTTTTAATACATATACAAACATATGGGAAAAAAAATTAAACTTGCACGTTTTCCATTGAAAAAGCAGAGTTTGCAACAACAAGAACAATAGGAATTATTTTCATATAAAAATTATTTTCTTCAAATCAAATTTCCACAAATGAATACAATAAATTCAATAATACAAAAAAATACAAGAATAACATGTAGCCTTTGTCCAGCAAAAATGTCTAAATGAAGTACAACAGCAGCAGTTGTCCACAACGAAATAAGAGATGTACAACAGCATTGGTTACAAAGTTGTCCGTGCACGACTTGAGCCGGGTGTAAATAAAACGTGACGTCACAATGCATAGTTTTTCTATAATACAAAGCAAATCGATATGTTGAGACACACTCTAAAGCATTGTTATGGGTACAAAGGAAATAAATTCGTTATCCAGGTTCAATCAAGGGTGTACGGGGATTTACCCCGGGTTGTATTCCATACACCCTTCGGCCTTCGGATAACCTGGATAACTAATATTATCTCTGTTATCACAGGAGTCTTATCACTTACAAATCACTATAAGGCACTGCATTTCTCTTATGTTAATTCTGCCCAGGGCCTTATAATTTAATCTGGCAGATTTTACCGATTTCAATCTTGGAAAAAATACATAGTTCTGTCATTAATGTACTTACAGGTAACCTCAGGTTCTGAGCTATAGTAATCACCTGTTATCTCAGAGCTGGAGTATTGGGAACGGAATGTAGGAATGAGTACAATTTTCTGATATGTGTTGTATAATAGATACTACAAATATATAGATATACATGTACAGGGTTTTTCCAGTAGGAGTTCATGATTAAAAATAACATACAATACTGAGCATAATTATTGACAGAGAATACATGTTACATTCTAATATGAATTGACAATATTATATACCTACTAGCCATAAAAAAACACAATTTTTTTTTTCTTTGATAATAGCAAAGAAACAAACAAAATATAACAATCTAGATACAAAAAGCAAATCAGATGCACCACAGTAGGTTAAATTCAATTCACAAACTCAAAGTTTCACCAGAGGAAAGCATCTCGAGATCGCGTTGACGAGTTAAGGCGCCTCTCTCTCCTGGCATCCTCCGCCACAGCTTCCTCGTAACTCGGTGGTGGTTCATTGTTATACGGTGGTAACTCTATGGCCATTGTGTAGTTAAAGATGTCAGGTGGTAATTGATTCTCTGACCTTTCCTCTCCCAAATCATTATCCTCATCATCATCGTCAAACTCGAAG